GTCTTTCTTTAGAATTAATTTAAAGAAGGCTAAAATCAAGAACTTTGTAAAGCCTATAAATCACCAAATCAGTAACTTCATCATGTCCTTACTTTCAAGTATCTCTTTCCAATTTTGTTTTGCTTTTGCATTTTTGGGGACTTCTATCTTTATGTACAGTACCATGCTATGGTCTTACTAAAAGTTTTGCTTTTCTATCTCTTCCTAGTAAGTTATTATTAGGTGCAATTTTACCTATCTCTAATTGGACCAATGATTGATACTACAGCTCTTGACAGATTATTAACTTTTATTTCCCACAGTCCACTATATGGAAATTACAAATTCTTCTTTTACTTGCTATGTTAGGATGATCTTTTTCCCCCCAAATCCATTCTCATTAATTTATGATACTTTTTGTTGTCTGATTTATAGTCAGTATGCTTTTCTTTAGAATAGTATGTCACATTTTAAAAATAAAGAACTATATTTCACAGTAAAGAACATCATACACAATTCAATATAGATGTCCAAAATATAACCAGTGGAGCAAGTTTTGAATATTCACAAGATAATGTTAAATGTTGAAGGTGACAAATATGTTTGTATCCTCAATGTGTTCATTATATACACTGAATATATGATTTTAAAGACCATTCTTTACCCTACAAAGATGTGTAATTAATAGATGTAAATCATGAATTACAATTAATATTTTTTATAAAGAGCTTTACTATATTAATCATTTGAGACTAACTTTTCTACACATGTTATGATTCATTCATATTGTTTCTTCTCACTGTATTTTATTCATTTTGACAGCAAAGTGAGGAAAACATGAACATCTGTTTTATCACCCCATCACATGTTTTCATTTATTTTCACACAACTTAACCTACCCTACTTAGTACAGTTATGTTCCCTAGTGGAAAGCAAGCCTTTTCAGGGTGCTGAAGATAACTCATTCATCTCAGTGTTTCTGGTAGTGCTTTATTCATAATAGGGATACCAGAAATATCAACTGAATGACTAGTAAACAATGCCAAACCCCACTACAGAATGGGGTTTTACCCTAAATATATGAATGATGCCTAACAAAGTCACCTGGTGAACATGCAGGGATCTTCGATGCCCAAGCTTTCCTAAGAGTGTTTATCGTTCACTTCTAAGTGTATTATTAGGCTTCTCTTGAATGCAAAACATTAAAGAGTCATTTTGTTTTGTTTTGTTTTGTTTTGTTTTGTTTTGTTTTAATTACTATACTGACCCAATTGCTGGCATTGTGGTGGCTAATGTGCTCTGTCCCACATGGTTGATTTCACGATTCGAGTCCCATATCTGGTGGCTGGAAAATCACACCTCACATGAGTGCATGCATGCTCAAAGTCCCTAGAGGAGACTGGAGGAGAAAAATTGCAGTGTGGCCACCCCTCACCCCCCTCCACAGATTTCTTACTTTCTCTCTCCCTGGCAAGTGCACACACCCTATAGCAAAAACTAAAAATAAATAAATAAATAAATAAATAAATAAATAAACTGTATAGAAGGTTAAGTAAGTAAATCAGATAAGTTTCTCTGTAGTCCTTAATTTTTATTCATATTGATTCAATTTCTAATTTTTGAATGACAATTCTTCATAATTTTTTAAAAAATCCTAAGTGCAAGTTAAATTTAGTGTTCTACATCTATGCATGATTGAAGATAATCACTGATCCATTTAAAGAGAAGTTCCATAAATAATATTATAGGGATGTAGAGAAATCAAAACATAAACATTTAAAAATTAAAAAGTCCCTAAGACCTTAAATAAATCCCAGACAAGAGAGAAACAATAGGTTATTAAAGTGCACTAGGGGGATCAGCAGACAGCATAATAGTTATGTTGCTGGACTCCCAAGTAGTTGATAGCTGTTCGAGTCCCAGACCTGGTGGCTTAAAGCTCACACTGAGCACATGTTGGGGGTGCCCAAATTCCCAAGAGGAGAATGGAGAAGGGATTGTGGTGTGGTCATCTGCCCTGGGGTGGGGAGGTGATTTCTTGCTTTCTGAATTTCTGGTGAGTACACATGCCCTATAGCAAAAATCTCTCAAAAAAATAAAATAAAGTGCACTAGGATATTGAGATTCCACCCTTATTCTGAGATGCTTGCAGTAAAGAAGATGCTAGACCATGTGGCCACATTTATGTGAACTATATTAAGTACAGGACCTTAATAGAGTTCCAGCCATCAGATAATTATACAATTCCATAACAATGTCAACAGTCCTGAAGAAAATGCTCTCATTCACATTCTCTCTTTGCAAAGCACAAAAAGAATGCCTGCGATGCTCACTCCTTTAAGTAATGCTCTTCATCTTACTGTAGATATAATGCACTATTATAAAACTCAAATAATCTTTGCTAAAGCTTAAGAGTAATTTCAGAATATTTTCAATTTTTATAATTCATCATCTCAAAGGGCTCAATGTAAATAAGAAAGTAAATCAATCAATCAATCGATCAAGGTTAAATCAGATATCTCCCTTTTATGTATTAGTTTTCTTATATACTGAGAATGCTTATATTCTTTCTGAATTCCCTTCTAGGTTTTTCTCTTTTTTTTTTTTTTTTTTTTGGAGGGTTTTTTCTTTAAGGGTTTTTTTGGAGAAGTTTTCACTATAGGGTGCGTGTGTTCACCAGACAGACAGAGAGAGACAGGGAGACAGAAAGCGAGAAATCACCGGGGGGATGGCCACGCCACAATCCCTTCTCCTCCATTCTCCTCTCGGGATCTTGGGCACTCACGCACACATGCCTGGCATGAGTTTTAAGCCACCGGGTCTGGGATGCAAACCGCAGTCAACTACGTGGGAGTCCAGTGACATAGCCATTATGCCAACTGCTGGTCCCTTCCCTTCTAGTTTTAAGAGCTCATAATTCTAACTATGTCTGAATGAGTAGGGTACTTAAACAGAAGTGAGATTTTAGAGTCAAAAAATATACTTTTTCTACAATAATTTACCTCAGCAATGAAAATACCCATCAAGACTTCTGTATTTTGTTGGCCAAGTATAGTGGCAGAATTATAATGACACTTAAAATGACAGATATCCTTTTGGAATATTCATATAAAGTCTCCTTCAACCTTCAAGTAAATAGTTTAATTCAGGAGACCATAAAAAGATGGACAGTTATATCATACAATCAAGGGAATATAATTTCAGGTTAGTGATTCCCATATCCTAATGTTTATCCAGTTTATTTAACTAAAATATACGCCTATATGTTCCAAATTGGTAGTTTATATATGCCTTGTTTGACTTCTCCTAAAACAAAGCTTAAGATACAGACTTTGGTGCTTGGAATTTATTTCAGAGGTGATCCTAGATAGCAAGAGTAAGAAAGTACAGAGACTGAGACAAGGAAAGAGGAAAAGCCAAGGGAGGGTGTGCTCTCGCATACTACCACGTGAGCAACAGGACCTCAGTCCCAGTGGAGAAGTCTAGGAGGTGTTCAAATTGTGCCTAAGAATTAGCCATCCTAAAAATTAGATGCTGGAGCATTTCTTTCTTTTTCTTTTTCCTTAGAGAGAGACTTTTGCTATAGGGCATGTGCACTTGCTGGAGAGACAGGGAGATAGAAAGCAAGAAAATCACACTCCAGGGGTCATAGTCATGCTGCAATCCTTCTCCTCCATTCTCCTCTTAGGATGTTGGGCATGCACACACACGTGCATTCAGCATGAGTTTTAAGCCACTGGGCCCGAGTCTTGAACCACAGTTAACTACGTGGGAGTCTAGTGATGTAGCCATGACACCATCTGCTAATCTTAGAGCTGGAGCATTTCTTCATGGACTTCTAGCTCTATGGGTTGGAGGTCTTTTGGGACCAAAAACTCCCTTATGCTTCGGGGCTGCCATGTGTGATTTGTGGCTTTGATAAAAGTCCTGAGTCAGAGACAAGCTACAAATGCTTGAGGTGAAATGCTGCCAGAGTGTTTGGGAAATGTCTACCACAGCTGTAGCTGAATTCAGAGGAGAGTGGAGAGGGCACAGAGGGCACCAAAAGTAATGGCTACAACCTAAATCCAATTAGATAAATGAGTGGACAGGATTATTGTCTATTTGTATTTCCCAACCATTCTTTCAATAAAGCTGTTCTAATAACTCCCTGCTCAAAATTAACTAGACACATGCTAAAATTTTTTAAAAAATACTCCTATAGTGACTCATTTATCCAAGTAATAATGATTGTGTAATTCTTGCCAAGATGCGTGAGATAAAGAAAAAAAGTACTTCCAATTTTGAACTTTGTCTAGTGTGTTACACAACATTCTGAGGATTATTTCCTGAACTCTTTGTTCCAGTTACGGCAACCTTCATTTATACATAATTTATCTTTATAAACTACTTACTGCTCCACCACTCTAAATTTTTTTTAAAAGAAAGAGAAAATAAATATTTTATTTTTGATAACATAGGAGAAGTATTTTTATAGCTCCCTTTCAATGTTTTTTTTTCCATGTTGCTGGTTTCACTGCAAATAAAAACAAATAACTCTGGAAGTGCCACTCTTCTTACAAACGACTGATGAAGAAGGATGTTAGAAAGAATATGAAAAATGCTACACTGGTTTCTAGCTTAATTTTCAACAAATAACTATATAAATATGTAGATATGGATCTACAATCCCTTCCAAGTGGAAAGCAAACACTTAAAGGCAGGTAGATGTTAATTTGCAATTAATCTTCCTAGGTACCACACAGTCGCAATAGCTAATCACATTACTGATAAAAGTTTTTACTCTTAGTTCTAAGGTTGCTGCTACTAACATAACGGTTTTAATCCACTAGGGGTATGCAGGAGCAAAAAGGAAATATATTCCTTGCTCCCAGAGTGACCAGTGTTTCCTGTATATTACCATCTACAGGAGAAAATGATCTTTCTATTACCTGGGCAGCACCCTTTGCACTCCCAACTCAACCATCCCCGAATTCCAAATGGAAATAATTTAAAGATATGATCACAGAAAGCATTCTTACCAGTTTCTGCCCAGACAGGACCTCCAGGAGAGCAAGCAGCTTAACACCATCTTTCATGTCTTCAAAAAGATCATCCACCACCATTGGGGGTTTCCGCTGTAAAAAATAAAAACAGAATGAGTGCAAAATATCCCTTCTCTTCTCTTTTACCTTTGCTACTCAGTATGATGAAATTTGTAGGAAGAATTTCTATATACCTTTATTCTTTATTCTGAATGTAGTTGTCAATTACCTTTTGATAATTATAAGAAGAAAATCTAGTGGAGAAAAAACTCGACATTCAAAAATTTCAGATTTAATACCTAGGCTTTGAGACACATACCAGCTTCTTTCTGGACAGAGATTTTTGACAACAGTGGGATGGTGGGGGAGAAAGTAAAGGGAAAAGAGCACTATCAACCTACATGAGAAGAGAGAGATTAGAATGAAATCTCAAAGGAAAGCAGGAGATGTCCCAGACAAACTGGACCAACCTCACAGCTTCACTGTGAGTGAATCACATTCCCAGGGTGTAACGAGTTGTGGCACTTCTACAGGACCTCCTCACCCAGGCAGCCTCCCTCATTAGCTCAAGACCTGCTGTGGGAGCACTGACAGCAGAGCTGGGGTCACAGCTTTAATCTTCCCATGGGTTACTTAGTAGCTTTGTTCTGTTTCACAGACAATCCAATCTAGCAAACCTTCTCTGTGTAGCATTGAGCCCAAACCACAATATAATATAAGACTATGGAGTGATCAATGCAGTCTATCGGCACTATTGCAAAATAAGCCAAAGCCCATGTGCAATTCATGGAAGGTCTTTTTTTTTTTTAATGGAAGTTATCAATATAGTCAATATACTAGAGTTCATCAAACTTGAATTAGAGTCTATTTTGGCTAAGATGAAAGTAAATAAGCAATGATGCTAATGTAGACAGTCAATAGAGAAGTGTTCACCAACTTCTCACAGTATCATATTTTTTCCTGTTTACCGTTAAATCAACGATTACCATGCCATTACAAATCTCTGCATAGAACTTTTTTTAGAGAGAGATTTTTGCTATAGGGTGCATGCACTTTCCAGAGAGACAGAGAGAGATAGAAAGACAGAAAGGGAGAAATCACCCCCATGGGGGTTGGCCAAGCCTCAATTTTTCTCCCTCATTCTCCTCTCAGCATTTTGGGTATGCTCACACAGGTGCCCAGCGTGCATTTGAAGCCTTGGGGCCTGGGACTCAAACCACGGTCGGCCATGAGAGAGTCCAACAACATAACCATTACGCCATCTCTCTGGGTCCCTCTACATAGAACAGGTTTAAAGAAAGAAAAAGAGTCATCAAGTGTTAGGCCTTTAACAAGTTTCATTGAGAATCAAAACTATAGAGCTACTTCAAGCTTTAAAAACAATGTTCCATGTAGAGATATTTAATCACCCAACATTTTATTGAAATGTGACTTTTGTATCTACCCACTGACATGGAACATTTATATTCTCTTATGACTGCATGAATTACTGTCTCTGAATGGCACATTCTAATTTTAAACGTATTTTTCTCTCTTTATAAAATGAACAGCTGAACACATTTTGTTCTCATGCTTTGAAATACATGTTCAAAAATAACAGACTTTTCATTTTAAATTCCGCCATTCACACTGCTTCTTACTTACAGAGCGAAGATGTAATAGTGACTTGATAGTCGGCATATAAATAAAATTAACAAAACTAAAAGGAGTCATTACAGTGGAAACCGTCATAATAAGAATTAAAATCATTGTATTATCCATATATAGTCATTAGCAACTATCTTTTTATCATTTACAACACCCAATCATATCCTGATAAAGTAAAACAATGAGGGAAAATTTCATAAATATTTGATATATTCAGGGGCAAATACAAATGATGTTTCTCACATACAGTGTTAAATATATAAATAAAATGAAAAGAAACAGGAAATTTCATGAAATAATAAAGATTTCCAAGATATTTGACCGCCTCTAAATTGATAAAATACATATACCCATTCATTCTGCCTTTAAACATCCACAGGTCTCTGCCACTTTGAAGAGCATTTTCTCTTGACCTCTTCTGCGATTTATTTCCTGTTGGTTTATTTTCATAAATGAGAAAGAGACAGAAACCCCAACAGCATTTTGACACTGCCACCTACCCTTAGCCTAACCAGGCCAGGATCATGGGCAAATGTATGCTTGGCATACTCAGGAACGTGTCCAGATGTGAACCTGAACTTTCCCATATGGGCCAACTGGCAGAGCTTTGTTTCTTACGTCCAGTCCCAGATCTTCCATTTTCCCCCTGTGTCTCCATGAGTCTGGACACATTTCCTTCCCTCTCCAGCTGCCCCCTGCACAGCACTCCTGGACCTGGCCTTCAGGACAGCACTGAGCAGGTCAGCAGCCCAGCAGCCTCTCTGTGTGGGGCATGCTGACACCATCCTCTCCTTGTTCTGCTCCTCGCCACGCCTCTGCCACCAGCCTGCCTGGTTTAAGGGGTCACCTCACTGTTTCTTTCTCCTGTTCCTTCTTTGTTGTCTTCTCCTTCTTCTCCCTGTGCCATTTGCCAAATTCAACCTCAAATTCTTTGTTCTTTACAAAATGTTGTCTGCATACATTACTGGCTGACTGACTGATTAACTGATTAGATGGATGTAAACATCGTAGGAAACCAACGAAACACCTTTGTTTATTAAAAATGACACCAGGTAAAAATATTAGTAATTATTGGATGAGTTTTTGCCATCCCATTTCTCACAAGGTATTGTTTATACAAAGTACATGATGGACTGGGGAGACCTTTGCTACTGTGACTATATTACATTTTATTTCTGAAACGAGGTTTTAATGTTCCTCCCGGCACATATACAAATACATGTAGCACCGATATGAAGCTTGAGTAGAATAGGCATCCTAGTGCCAGAGGCCACATTGAAGTTTGAAATGAGAATAATGTAAGGGAGACTGACAATGGAAAATAAAGATGATGTGGTTTTATTTGGATTGCTTACGAATTCGCAGTTTCAAGCACTATACAGACATTTATCAAGCACTTTTTAAGACCACAGCTATTTTTTTATTAATGGAAAATTATGATAAGCTCACTTTTTTTTGAGACAGAATTTGGAAAATTACATTCTCCTTTAGTCCTGCCAGTCATAGACACTGCAGTGGAACCAATCTGAAATCATTCAAAGAATGGACCTCCTGACCAGGTAAGGGGAGGAGCTGAGCAAGAATAAGAAGACAAAGATACGTCACATCTACGCTACCCTTCTAAAAACTCTTCTCAAACTAAGTTTAAACCCTAAGTTCTAACTCCAAACAGATTGCCAGTTCTCTATAAACTGTCCAAGTGTGCTGGCAGATGGTGTGGAGGTTAAGGCAGCTAGATTCCACATGGCCAACTTTATGGTTCAAGTCCTGGATCTGGCAGCCTGAAAATCATGCAGGGCGTGTGTGTGTGTGTGTGTGTGTGTGTGTGTGTGTGTGTACATCCATAATCCCGAGAATGGATTGCAACATGGCCATACCTCAGGGGGATGATTTCTCACTTTCCTCCTCCTCCTCTCTCTCTCTCTCTGGCAAATGTACATGTCCTATAGCAAAAAAAAAACCATACCTCGGGGGGATGATTTCTCACTTTCCTCCTCCTCTCTCTCTCTCTCTCTGGCAAATGTACATGTCCTATAGCAAAAAAAAAAAAAAAAAAAAAAGGCTCCAAGAACTCAGGGAAATCATAGGCCTCTGTTGCTGAAGAGACAACACTGCCTAGCTATCCCCTGTGGAGTTAACACACAGGTGGAACAGACTTCATTGAGCGTTTTTCTCTGTTTCTGCTCCTCCCACTTTTATTTTAGCACAGCAGCCCCCTTGACAGCATGTAATGAGATTCATTCCCTTTCTCTTAGGACTTAAAATAAATCAAAGGTTTCTCCTAGAGCTTTAGGAAATCTGAGGAAGCACAGGTGTCTTTGACATCATTTTTATTGACCATTTCCTGTAGTTTGAGAAAATCATCTTTCTGTAAGGGTTTGTAAAAGAGACAGAGAGAAACATACAGAGAGAGAATAACTTGTGTCTCTTTACCAGTCTATAAACACCAGTGTATATTTAACCATTACCCACCATCTGTTTTCATATTTTTATTCATGAAATGATGGCCATGTTTGCTATGCCACATGTCGATTTGATGCCCAAGGAATGATTCCATTCCTTAAGGGGAAAAGATTAAGAGAATGATTTGATGAAAACGATATCAGAAATAACTATTTTGCATGAAATAAAAATTAAAGACACTCTCACATTTAAAATTATATGTCAAGTGAAAAATGTTCATGCATAAATGAAACATTACAAAATAGTCCTAGTATAGACAATGCATATGAATTCCAATATTAGTAGGTCTCTTTATGGTTTAGATATTTATACACTCAAGTTTCATGGGCATTTTAATAGGGATGAAGAGAGGAAGGAAGGATAACAGAAAAAGGAAGAAAGAATGACTAAACGATTGTCAAACATTTAGAGGCGTCAGCACCACGAGCAGGCTGTATTACAACCACCACCACACATAGGAATACTAGTAAGGAATCTGAATCTCAGAGATGTTAAACCACTGGCCAAAATCTACCCTTACTAAGTGACTGGGATCAGAGCCCAGATGTATCACATGTTGAGTCTCCTTGTCTGATAAGAGGTTTAGGGTAAGAAAATGCAGGTATTAATATAATTTTTTTCTGAATAATACACAAACCTATAAATATGGTTATTAAATACCAATAGGAAAAGCATTAACTGATCAGCTGAATTGCTTGTCACTCCTACTGGAAACAATAAATCTGTTAATAAAAAGCCCTTTCTAAATGTGACTTTAAGAGAGATCAAAAGGTGGGGCCAGCAAGTAGTGCAGTGGTTAAGGCGTGGACTTCCACGGGGCTGAGTGCGGTTAGAGTCCTGGACCCGGAGACTTGAAATTCATGCCAGGTGCATGTGCATTCATGCCCAAAATCCTGAAAGGGGGACGAAAGAGGAGGGATTGTGGTGCGACCATGTCCCCCTGAGAGTGATTTCGTACTTCCATTCTCTCTGTCTCTCTGGCA